GTTAATCTATCTACATATGTATCGCACACATTTTTGTAACGTAAACCCAATCAATACAATTTCATGTAAGATATAGCAAGCTTAAGATAATTTAAAGGTATGTTTCTACGCTTTTATATCTGCAGCTTTTATTAGTACAATATCTGGTGATCCTGGCATAAAAGTCCCTTTTCAGGCACTTTCTGTTATATGGTGGCAATGGGCTTTCACTGTTTTACAATTGTTATTGTGTGTTGTCATCTGTCACACACTACAAGTTATCATACTGATGCACTATTCACAAGCAGGGTCTTCTGTTGTCATTACCCCCTGAAAAAAAGACATGTAGAAGATTCTGAAGTGTATGGGTACAGACAGGTAGTGAGAGGAAGCAGTGCTGGTATACAATGGCTGAAATAAAGGTCAAAACTATGTTGTCTTAGGGGCAATAATAGGCACCTGCTGCAGTCAATGGCATTTGATCTTATTTGGAAAAATCTCAAGTTCTGCAAGTCCCCCTAGTTTTAAAGCCTGAATTCACACAGGGGGTGAAGGAATGCATGTAAATTGTCTTGTTTTTTTTTTTGGTAGCAGGCACTCAGGCATGCCCTCAATTCTTAATGGCACCCTACACATCAGAAAATGCAATGAATTTTCTAGTGCAAGAAATCGCATGGTGCCAAAGCACTATAGAGTTCCATGCAGCTGTGTTTGAAAAAAAAGGGTCAGGGACATTCTCCCCCACATTTCCGCTCACATGAATAGGAAACACAAGAGCCACAGCAATTGCAACAGTGTGAACCTAGCTTTAAGCTTCCCCCCCTTCCTTTAGATTGTAAGCTCCATGAGCAGGGCCCTCACATTCCTTCTGGTCTTGCCAGGCGTTATGCCAATGTGGTTTCTTTTCTGGGGCCAAATTCTAGCCTTATCATATTTGTAACATCTTCATCCTAGTCCACAGGACACTGCCACTGCCACCCATGGCCCACACATCACTCCCTCCTTCCAGGCAGTCCTGCCCAGATCATACCTAATTTTCCAGGTGGTACCCACCCACTTTATGAAAAGTCTTGCTCTGAATATGTCCACTCTATGGACTGTCCCACACCTAACTGTGTAGGAACCACCCACTCAGGACTGCATTTCCTTCAGTAATATCCTTTTAGGACCCATTCACATCAGTGTGTCGTGGTTATGCATATTTTTTGAGCGTCCGTGCAATGTGAGAAGCTGCGGTGCACTTAGAAGACTGGAGGATCCTGGAGATGTGGAGAATATCCTCTTTTGGCAACTTATATTCTTGGTGGAGAGGTACTAGCGGAGCTGTCCCTGTGTGCTGTGAGGGTCCAGTATGTGAGGTCTGGAGTTATTCCCTGTATGCTGTCAATGTGCCAGTGGAGTTCCTTTCCTTTCCTGGGCCCAGATGTTTCACCTGGGATAAATTGGATATAATTATATGCGCATTATCATTGCGCTTCTGGTGAGTGCAATCGTACTACAAACCCTTATCACAGAAGTCACGTGCACGGAAATTATACGGAACACCTTGGACTTAATTTTATATTTATCTTTATATTTCATTCATATTTATTCATCAATATTCATAAGTGTATCACTACAATTTGTTTGGAATTACTCACCACTGTCACTATTGGATATTTCAGTCACTATTTTTTTTGTCAACTTTTGACGATACACTATATACTGTATGTTGTGATCACTTTAGCGCTAATATTTTGCACTTCATCTCATATGCATTTGTCACTTTCTGAATTTAGTGCTGCATTATATACTTATATTTATTTTTATTTATTTTATTTTTATGTTTAACCACTTGCCGACCGAGTTATAGCCGAATGACGGCTACATAGCGGTTGTCCAGTTCTGGGAGGACATCATATGAAGTCCTCCCAGAACACGCCTCCCACACTCCCCTAGCGGCATGCACCCGGCAATCTCCGTGATTGCTGTGTCCTAAGGACACAACTGATCACGTGATCACGTGATGTGGTAAAAGGCCAACCACAGAGGCCTTTTACCACTTGATCAGCTGTGTCCAATGACACAGCAGATCACCGGGTAAATGCAGTTGCTGGTTGTCGGCTGCCGATAACCGGCAATTGTCAGAAAACAGCAGTGCCACCCACCTCTGCCCAGAAGTGCCACCCACATGTGCCAAGCAGTGCCTAGCAGTGTTTGCCACCCACCTCTGCCCAGAAGTGCCACCCACATGTGCCAAGCAGTGCCACCCACAAGTGCCAAGCAGTGCCTAGCAGTGCCACCCACCTGTGCCCAGCAGTGCCCCCCCAGCAGTGCTGCTCAGAAGTGCCACACATCAGTGCCCAGCAGTGCCGCCAGTCAGTGCCGCCAGTCAGTCAGTGCCCATCATTCCTGCATATCAGTGCAGCATCATCAGTGTCAGCTCATCAGTGCCGCCTATCAGTGCTGCCTATCAGTGCTGCCTATCCGTGCCACCTCATCAGTGCCCATCAGTGCTGCCTATCCATGCTGCCTATCAGTGGAGCCTCATCAATGCACATCCGTGAAGGAGAAAAATTACCTGTTTGCAAAATTTTATAATAGAAAAAATATTGTTTTTTTTTCTCAAAATTGTCAGTTTTTTTGTTTATAGCGCAAAAAATAAAATACGCGCAGGTGTTCAAATACCACCAAAAAAAAGGATGTAAATTTCATTTGGGTGCAGCGTTGCATGACTGCGCAATTGTCAGTTAAAGTAACACAGCGCCGTATCGCAAAAAATGGCCTGGTCAGGAAGGGGGGTAAATTCTCAGGAGGGCAAGTGGTTAAGCAAGCATGTTGTAGATTTTTAACACTTCTGCGAATGCACGCAAAAAATGCACATTTCTATGCGCATCCCCAGAACACGCTGATGTAAATGGGACCTTAGGCTACGTTCACACCTATGCAGTTTGTGTTTGATCCGTTTCTGCAGTGCTTTTTGCGGTGCGGTTTGCGTTTTTGCACATGTGTTTTTGAAGCGTTTTATTTTCCTTGTTGCTAGGCAAATTAAAATGCAGAAAAAAAACAAACTACATGCTTTTCTGCAGCGTTTCCACTGAAGTCTATAATCAGGTCCGCAACTTTTTGCATTTAAAAAAGTACCTGACCTTTTCCAAAAAATGCAACAGATGAAAACGCGTCCCATAGGAAATCATGTTAAATGGAATGGAGTGCGTTTCTGCAAAACGCTGCAGAAAATGCTTAGGTGTGAACCTAGGGTTAGAGTTACTGTGCATGCTCAGTAGCTCACATAAGTATCACTGGACAGAGCACATAGATGTGGGACTCTTCCAGTAAATCTGAGACAGTTGGCTTCCATGCCTTATGGTACACTTCTAGTAATAATACTGGCATCTAATCCCATTTTTACTGGCCAGACCAGTAAAATACCACACAATTGTTAACACAGTTTTGTATATAATTGAGATAGTTTAAAATCTGTTAACTTGTTATCGTTGTATGTACCCCTTTCTGAGAGTTTTCCTGAACTCTTGTCTCTTCCACAGGTGTCAGACAAATAAGGAGGTATAAGAAAATCTACCCACTTCTAGCTAACATGTGCTTCTGAACAGGAAGTGACAGGAATTCCCCCTATAAGGCCAATGGTAGCGTTAAAGACACATTTTCCAAAAGATTGAGAGAGGTTTAGCCCTTCTGTTATGAATTTATTTCTGTGTGAATCCCCATGAGAGAGATTTGCAATCACTTTCTGTTCCAGAGAAAGGTGTCAGACATAGACGTAGTTTCTCTTCTCTTTCTTTATGGGGCACTGACAGCCTTTGAAGGCTAAGTTCACTTTTTTTTTCTATTAATGTGCTTTGATACAGCACTTTGGGAACATCCAACTTCTTTTGCAATTACCTTTTGAGGCTTTCCCTCCTTATGGAGGGTGTCAATGATGGTTTTCTGCACAACTGTCAGGTCAGCAGTCTTTCCCATGATTGTGATTCCTACTGAACCAGACTGAGAGACCATTTAAAGGCTCAGGAACCCTCTGCAGGTGTTATGGCTTAATTAGCTGATTAGAGTGGGACACTTTGAGCCTAGAATATTGCACCTTTTCACAATATTCTAATTTTCTGAGATTGTGGATTTGGGTTTTTCATGAGCTGTAAGCCATAATCATCACAATTATGACAAATCACAGCTTGAACTATCTTGCTGTGCATGTAATGAGTCTAACTCATATATTAGTTTCACCTTTTAAGTTGCATTACTGAAATAAATTAACTTTTGCACAATATTCTAATTTTTCGAGTTTCACCTGTAAATGAAAAAGTCCAAAAATTTTGAAAAAAAGTGTTTTTCTTATAAAATTTTGCAAATAAATATTCTTTCTTCATAAATCTTGGCCAAAATGTATTCAGCTATCTTTTTAGTATAAAAAAAAACCCAAATTAGTTAACCACTTCCTGTCCGGACACTTTTACCCCCTTCCTGTCTATGACAATTTTCAGCTTTCAGCACTATCACACTTTGAATAACAATTGCGTGGTCATGCAACACTGTACCCATATGAATTTTTTACCATTTATTTGAGACAGATAAGTCTTTATTTTGGTGGTATTTATTCACCCTGGGATTTTTATTTTTTTTTTGCTATGTAAATGAAAAAGTCCCAAAATTTTGAAAAAAAGTGTTTTTTTCTTATAAAATTTTGCAAATAAATAATATTTCATCATAAATCTTGGCCAAAATTTATTCCGTTATCTTTTTAGTAAAAAAAAAATAAGCCAAATTAGTTTACAACCAAAAATTATAATTTTTAAACATTTTTTTTACATTTTTATTTTATTTTTTTATATTATTATTTATGTTTTTTTTTTTTTTACATACTGTCACCCTAGCAGTACAGTGTCACCATAGTGACACTGTACTACTTGTGGGGGGTGATGAAGATTTTTTTTTCTTTTTTACACTGATTGCTTTTACACCCATATAGGATGTAAAAGCAATAATTTCTCTTTCTCTCTGTCTGCATTCTTGCAGCCATTGAGAACTACTGAGTGAGCTGTGATTGGTCACAGCTTGTCACATGGTACAAGGCTGTTATGAATAGCCTTGTACCATATGACCTCTGTGATCATTCACAGATTTTACACGTAGTAAGCAATGATGTCACAAGTGACATCTTGCTTACTACTTTGCATGTGATCACTGTTTGGCCAATCAGTGATCACATGATCGGGACCTCGCACAGAGGTCCCGTCCGACGATCGGTCTTCACTGTGTCCGGAGGACACAGCGGGCACCGGATCACGGTGCTGCGCGCTCCCAGGGAGCGCACACAAGCAGGGTGTGGGGAGGCCATTTATAAACGGCCACCTGACCCTGCAGTGCCACCATCCAGCCGTTTATATACAACAACGCCGGATGGGAGGTGGTTAATAAGCAAAAATTATAATTTTTCAAAAATGTTTTTTACATTTCTATTTTATTTTTTTTATATTATTTATGTTTTTTTTTTTACATACTGTCACCCTAGCAGTACAGTGTCACCATAGTGACACTGTACTACTTGTGGGGGTGATGAAGATTTTTTTTTCTTTTTAACACTGATTGCTTTTTCACCCATAAAGGCTGTAAATGCAATGATTTCTCCTTCTCTCTGGCTGCATTCTTGCAACCATTGAGAAATACTGTGTGAGCTGTAATTGGTCACAGCTTGTCACATGGTACAAGGCTGTTGGGAATAGCCTTGTACCATGTGACCTCTGTGATTATTCACATATTTCACACATAGTAAGCAATGATGTCAGAAGTGAAATCTTGCTTACTACTATTCATGTGATCACTGATTGGCCAATCAGTGATCACATGATCGGGACCTCACACAGAGGTCCCGTACAGTGATCGGTGTCCCAGGGAGCATGCACAAGCAGGGAAGTGGGGAGGACGTTTATAAACGGCCACCCACCCCTGCACTGCTCCCGTCCAGCCGTTTATATACACTGGCCGGATGGGAAGTGGTTAAAGTGACCTGTGATTGATTTCCATTAGGCATTTGAAGTTGTGCACTGCTTCCTTGGTGCACTTTATTATAACCATAAGTTAAAAACTATAAAATTCCTTTACAACCGCTTTCCACTACTTGTGCACAATCTAATACTTGTCCAATCCCTGGGTGCCAGGAAATTACTTTCTCCCCAGAAAGTTCAAAATCAAAAGTCTTTCACAGCATCCATAGTGAATGTCCCCTACAATCATATGCAGACTCTCCTTCTTTTTCAGTATCCTTCAATGTGTAATTCTTACATTGAAATCTTCATCTTCAACTTGATACACTCAAAGAAATACATATAGACACACATAGTGCCATATCCTCAATACACTCACAGCTGTCTTAAAGGAATCACAAAAATGTGTCAAGATAGGTCCACAGATCCAGGTGAGAGCGGAGAGTGAATGGTGGTGGAACCCTCTCCGATGATGAAACTTTAAAGCAAAGATGTCAAACACAAAGCCCGAGGGCGAGCCTCACACGGCCACTCTGTTTTCAAATCTGACAGATAGTAGGAGGAGACTTCCCCCTGAACTATCTGTCAGAAGGAGGGGGGGGGGGGGGTGCGATGGACACAGCTTCGGCTATAGGAACTTGTTACATGTTCCACCCTAAAAACAGGTGGAACATGTAATATGTTCTCAAAGGTGAACTTATCCTTTAAAGGCTTCCTGAATGCAGTACAATATTTAATCATTTCTCCTGGTTCACTGGGTGTTTATATATGGACTTTCCACAGACTTGCTACATGCATTGATGTATATCAGTGTTTCTCAACCTTTTTTCGGTCAAGGCATCCTTTAAAACTGCACAATCTTGAGGCACCTCTTTTTAAAATGTAAAGAATTAAACAAATCGTTTTTTACAAAATGTAGCAACATCTACACATGTAAGGGCACCCAACATTACAGGTGATTTATTCCTACAAATCTAATACACCTTTGCAAACTGGTACTGACTAGTATTCCAATGTTTCTCTTCTCCTTCGGTCAGCTAAAGTGACCCCAGTGCTGATGGAGAGGGACAAACAAGGATGTGGGTGACTGACATCTTCCTTTTTAATAAAATTCATCACTGGTTGTTAGGATGTCAGTGACTGGACCTCACAGGTTGTAATGGCGCACAATTAAAAACAGTGGTTTGTATAACAAATAGGTGAGCTTGATCCACTTGCTGGTTTGTTTTGGGCAATTTTTAGGCATTTTGCCAAGGCAACCCTGAGGAACCCAGAAGGCACCCAGAAGTGCCTGGGCACCCTGGTTGAAAAAGACAAATATATTATGCTTTGAAAGTTTTTTTGACACACTATTCTTCTATTTAATTTATTATACATTCAGTAAGGCTCGGTTCTCACTGCCGCGACTTGGGAACCGACTTGTGAGACCCCAAGTCACATGACATGTGAAATCCCATGTTAGTCAATAAGAGCTGTCTTAGCACTACTGAAGTCGTTCCGACTTTAGAAAAGGTTCCTGTACTACTTCAAGGTGACTGCTGTCTGACTTGTGCCCATAGACTTTAATGGAAGTTGCCTCCAAGTCGAATCCTCATCTATACTGACGTAATCTAGATCTGACATTACAGGAAGATTACCCAATCATTCCCTGAAAGTCGCTTCAGAGTTGCTTCAAAGTAGTGCTTAAGTCGCCTGGACAGGTCACAGTAGTGTGAACCAAGACTAAGTGTATCTGTTGGCATAGTTACACTGGTTTAATTACAGTGAGATACAGTCAGTATTGAGTTTATTGTCACATTACAGTGTGTTGCAGTATGTCAATTTTTTGTTGGTTTGCACTGCAATATATATGCTAAAGTGTTACTAATCCCACAACAGTAAAATCAGTCTGTTTATGCAGTTAAGCATGCTTGTATACTCACAGTGGAACCTAAGGGGTTAATCCTCTGCATTGTGCAAAAACGCTGTTTGATCCTGACTTATCTGATCCTCCCCTTCATCCAGTGTCCCCCTCTTATCTCCTGATAAGTCATAGCGTGTGGAGTCACTCTGCACATGCTCAGTTTGGTGTGTATTGCTAGAGAGGGTTTTTTTTTTCCTTGGGAGAGTGCATGTGATCAGCACAGGGCCAATCAACGCTGTCCAGACAGAGGTCAGGGGTTCTGTATCCTCCTAGAGCAAAATGACAAGTTTTAAACAGTGCTCTGCTGGACATTGATAAACATCACAAGACTGCTGTAACTGCTGATGAGAAAAGGTATTTAGCAGTTTATATTTACTAAAATAATTGCATTTCCCTTTTATGTGTATTGTGGGAGACCAGATATAGTGAATGCAGGGTCCTGGGTTGAGTAGCACTTTAATTGTTTGTTTGGAGCAGGTTAGCTGCGCTTTCCCATAGAGTTATATTGTGGGTGGCATGTTTGGTGCGCTTTCTGAATGCGCACCACAGATGCACCATACAAGAGATTTCGTGCATTTCAGAAAGCATACCAAACAAGCGGGACACAATATAATTCCATAGGAAAGTGCAGCTAACCCACTCCAAACCCGTAATAGGAGGATCCACCTGAGCAATCTAAATAGGACAGGCTCTTGCACTACCTAGCTAATGGTAGATCTAAAGGTGATCAGAATGCACAATGTATGGCCATCTTAAAGGAAGAAGTAGGAAAATGAGTGGAAAAAAAAAAGAGGTGGTACAGTAATGAGGGAGGTGTTGTCCAGAGTGGTAAAACACGCCCTATTCGATGATGCAGTAAGGCAGTACATGATGGGATATGAAGTTTCCTGCATGCCACATGATGCTACAGGAAGTCAGGACTCAGAATACATTTTTTACATATTTGAACAGAGTGGTGCAGATTCAAAGCTGCCATGGACTAGGTAAGTGAGAGACAAGCACATTGGTGTGCCTTGGGCAGAAAATACATTAGAAAAGGTTTCTATTTATTTAGAAATAGGATTTACCCCCCTTCCTGACAGACTATTTTTTGCGCTGCGGCGCTGCATTACTTTAACTGACAATTGCGTGGTTATGCAACGCTGCACCCAAATAAAATTTACTTCCTTTTTTTCCCACAAGTAGAGCTTTTGTTTCGGTGGTACTTGATTGCCTGCGCATTTTTTATTTTTTGCGTTATAAAAAAAAAAAGACTCATATTTTTGACTTTTTGCTATTTAACATGTCCAGTGAGAAAATTTTAAAAATCAAATTTCGTCATGAATTTAGGCCAAAATGTATTCTGCTATACATCTTTGCTAAATAAAAATCTCAGTACGTGTAAATTAATTGGTTTACATGAAAGTTATAGTGTTTACAAATGGCGGTATATATACTGCAATTTTTTTTTCTTACTAGTAATGGCTGTGATCAGTGACTTATAGCGGGACTGCGACGGGCATTCTGACACTGGGGGGAACTGACTTGGTGTTACTAACACCCCCAGTGACACCAATACAGTTATCAGTGCAAATATAAAGCAGACACTGTACTAATGGCACTGGACAGAAAAGGGTTAACATGTGGGGCGATCAAAGGGTTAACTGTGTGCTGTTTTTACTATGTGGGTTGTGTGCGTGCTTCACTGTAAGCACAGTGCTATGTTATGAGTTGACAGGGGAGAGATCTGTATTGTTTACATACAGGTCTCTCCCCCATTGGTAATACTCGGTGATCGCCGGGTGCTGGCGGGGAATCACTGGCCAGGACCCGGTGATTGACAGCTGAGGTTATGAATGGCGGTGCGGGTAGGACGCACGCGCCCCCCCCCCCCCACCCCAGAACTACAAAATCACATATATATACAGTATATATATAATTTTGTGCACCCATGACGCCCTTTAGCAGTATTTCTGCTATAGGTCGGCGCAGAAGCAGTTAAAATCTGACAGACAGATCTCATTCGTTGGTGGAGGTACTATTGCATGTGCTGGGTGTCTATACTTGGTGAAGGAGACTTGTAGATTACTGGTGCTGGGAGGAGATGATAGCTGAATTCTTCTAGAGACTAGAGCTGACTGAAACTGTAAAAAGTGAAGGCTTAGTATCACAGAGCAGGGTTGATCACCCTCTCATGGCTGGAAGCCAAACTACTTCTCCGGGCCACACAGACATTAGGATAACGTCCTGTACACTTGCCACATTGACTACTGTACAAAGACATTTGAGACATACAGCATTGAGTGCTGAGTCTCTCCAACAGGTCTCATCACATTGAGTACTT